TCAGTAATGGATGTTTAAAAGACGTTTAATAAAGACGTCGCAAAAAACTTTCATTCTGCCTTGTCTGTGGACGTCTTTTGAACGTCTGACAAAGACGTTACCTTGACGTCTTTTTGGACGTGTCTTTGCTCAGTGGGTCCACCGAGATCAAACAGCTCAGACAAAGTCTACCTTCCTTCGTTCTGACAGAGGAGGAGTGTTTCGTTTTCTCTTTCTTTTATTTCACCTTTCTAGTTCAGCTTTTGTTTGAGCGTGCTAGTTTCAGCGTCTCTTTTGTTTGTACAGCGGCGGTTGGAGCCTGGCTCCGGGTCACCTCAATCACAGCGTTCCAGACGCTCACTCCACTGACCTGTACATTTATTTAGTCCTCTTTCTCACTGCTTTTCATTTCTGCACTTGGCTCCGCCTCCCCGCCGTCCCGTAACACTGATGTACTATTATCATTTTTAAAACCAGACTCGCTTCATCAACTCAGTTTAGGTGAAAATACTCCAGTGTCTCTCTTGGTAAACCAGTCTTTTAATAGAAGGTCATTAATTAGTGACGCTGATGTCTATTAAAATGATCATAAACACAAAACACTGAAGGTAAACAGTTTCCATCAGGCAGAACTGAGTGGCTCTGAAATCACTTTTTACAAACAAGCAGAGTTTCAGTTTAAGATTTATTTGAACTTAGTTACAAGTTTAAGTTTAATAAAAACTTTAAACTCAGATTCACAAATGAGTTTCCTTTACTAAGCTGCATCTGTAGGTCTCTGTTCATAAACATAAACTAGCCCAAACTAATTTACTATAAAATGAAATGTGTTTGTATAAATTCAGAAAAAAGACCCGTCAGTCACAACTGCATATGAGTACATATTTCTATATTGTGGTCTGTTTACCCACAAAGTCCAGAGCCGTATGTTATACCTGTTCACTGATTCTTTGATGTGTGATTGTCAGTCAGTGCTGCATTAACCCCGCCCTGCTTTACCTGCTAAAGTGACCTAAGTACAGTGTGGATATGCTTGCACAGGGTCAGTATGTCCAACAGGTCAAAACAAGCTCTAAACAAAGTGCGCGCTGTGCCCTGATTGGTGTTTGTGCTCCGCTCTTCTTTTGTTTGGACATTTTTATGAGCACAAAAGTCAAAAGGAAGGACAGATTTCTCAGAATGTAGAGGAGTAAAAAGTGAGATATTAGACTTTGAAATGTAGTGGAGTGAAAGTAAAAAGTCCCCCAAAATGGAAAAACTTCAGTACAGATACACAGAAACTACTAAAGTACAGTAATGAATTACATTTACTTAGTTACTGTCCACCACTGCGTTTCAGTGAGGTCTAGATAGAGGAGAGATCTATACATCATCAGTGTGTCCACTGCAGTGTCTGTAACCCGCATTTCATGTGGTTAACATAGTTTACACCTAAAACCTTCTGGCAACCGAAGGGTTAAGCTTGCTGAGAGCTGCTTTGCCAGCAGCAACCAATCATAACGGAGAGTCCGGCTTTATCCCGCCCAGCGGCTGCTGAGACAGTGTGATTAGTACAACTCCGCTTTCTTATTGGAGCAGGCGGCTGCTCTGTTCGCTGTAGCGAATTGTAATTGAGGATTCAGTTGTCCCGCCTCCGCCGCTGCGCGGTCTAATTGAGCCCCTCCCTCTCCCTTCCTCTTCTTCTCTCGTGCTGAGAAGAGACGAGACGCAGCTGCAGCTCAGAGAGAAACGCTGTGAGGAAACTTGAGAAGGAGCTCCAAAGAAACAGTCAGAGTCAGTAAAAGTTAGGCGTCCTGATGAAAACAGACCCGAAACCCTGAACTCCCAGTAATGAGTGTGAGACCCACAGTATTGGCTGCACCGAGACGATGAATGGAGAGTAAACCAGCAGTTTCCATAGGCAGCCTAGCTAATTAGCTCCACACGGATTTGTGTACATTTATGGGTTTATAGAAGTTGAAATGAGATGATAACTCAGTGAATGCTTTAGATGAATGAACCTAAATGTGTTTATAGCTGAAAGAGTTCGTTTTTATCGAGTTTTAAGCCGAAGTGGGTGCTGTAGGCGGAATGTTCTCTTTTCCTCATAGCCATTACTGGTTAGAGCTGGTTGAGCCAATCCAGCAGACATTCTAGAACATTCCAGAGCTACATTTTCATTTGTTCTGTGAAACGTGCGTTTGAACGTGTTTGTGAACTGGAAAAAGAGACAGTGCTTACTAAATATTTGGGAAAAAGGTTTGTTTTCATTTAAATATGTTGTTTACATAAACATACATATGCAGTAAGAGTTACAACCTGTAAAAGAGAGAGAAGTTCAGTGAGTTAATCATATGAAAATGTGTGTAAACCTGTTAAACTTACCTGTTGATGTTCTGAACCTGAAAAAGAAAAAGTATTAGTCACTGTGAAGGTGATGTATGTTCATTTGTTGTTAGGTGAAGAAAGTGCTTGTGAATAACAGTGAAATGAGAAGTGATACAGCCACCTGGGCTCAAGCACAGAGAAAGTGTTACAGTGTTTTGTTTAAACAGGTCAGGTTTTTTGAGGATCATCAGAACCTTGAAATCAGAGCCTGGTTGGATCTTCAGAGAAGTCGATGTTGAGCCACCCACGAATAGAACGGTTTTCTATGACGTCCGTCTTCACTACGGACTGGTGAACTAACAAACACAAGACTAACAGACTCTTTATTCTCTGTTTCCTTTTGTGAGCGAGCACCAGTGTTTCAGTTACTCGGTTTGTTATTTATTTGTTTTGGGGTTTTTATTTTTTTCTCTGCTGATGAACACAAACAAACAAAGGGTTTAAATCTGTCTAAACTATATTGAAGAAAATTAGAGAAATTATTCTAGCTAAGCTTCATTCTAAAGTAACAATAATAATCCAACTAAACTAAAGAGATGATTTAACACTAAACCCAAAGTCTTAATCCTTCATTAAATCAAAGATAACTAAACCTTAAACCCATTAAACTGGAACACAAATAGGACCAAATCTAATTTAAGCGCTTAAGAAGATCAACTTGATCTCGGGGACAGAAGGAAGGTTGTTTAATTGTTGAAAGTTTTCTTTACTTTGTGTTTGTATATATTTTTATCATCCAGTAAAGAGACTCTCTTTATTTATAACACCACTCCTGTCTCCTGTATTTGCTGTCACACACCTTCCACCTCCTCATTGAACCTGGTTGTACTGGTCCACAGCCTTATTGCAACTTCAGCTTTTGCGTCTAGTTTGCAGTGTTGCTGCTGTAGTTCATTAGTGGGCTAAAAAGGGTTACATGTCCACTCAGCATCAGTCAGTAAAGAGCTGAGAGTGTAAATCATGTAAGGAGGTTGAAATCCTGTTAAACTGTTGGAGGAGCTTTTTGTTCTGTGTATTTGGGATTTGCACTGAGGAGCTGTTGATCTTGAAGCTCTGTTTAATGCTGTTCTGTCACTGTAAGAAGTTTTACTCCGTCATTGTTGTGAGACTCTCAGTCTGTGTGATGGAAAGAGCAGCTATGCAGCTCTTAGAGACTGTAATGAAAAACCTGTTTCAGTAAACACAGTTTAATATTCTGCTTTATTCACATCAGTATATTATTAGGGCTGTTTGATTTTCTCTGCAGCGCCATCTACTGAAATTAGAAGACATGATTTGTTTGTAAAAGAAGTTAAAAACAGAAGTTATTTGTGTCTAAATGTTTGTGTTAACAATTCCTTTTAGGCTCTTAAAAATGTGTTAAAAAGTTATTTCTATGATTTTATAAGTGCCACAATCTCCAAAAAGAGTAAATACAGTGTCTGTTAGGTCACTTTGAGGCAGTGTCTGTGGTTTGTAGCTGCAGAGAGACTTTATAGCTCCATTTAACATGACAGGACTAAAGAACATGGAGACTACTGAGCTGATAGATTGTGGAGAACAAACAGAAAAGAAAAAGGAGGAAAAACAGACATTAAAGCCATAAAAGCTCTCAGTTTAAGAGGAGTAAAGGAATGAAAGCAGGTTCAGTCCATTTAGATGCTGCTGCCCTCTTGTGGTCAGAGAACAGACTGAATGTTTTAAATGTTCCAAACGTCTCCAGATGTAGTTTAATACAAAACCTCCTTCATAAAGAGCTTTTTCTTCAGTCTTTAATATTAATGTGCAGAACAACTCTCAGTTTAATAGAAGTGTAAAGATTTGATATTATAAGAAATATACAGTGTTCTGAAGGCCTGTAGACGGTACTGGAAAAGTGAATAAAAGTGTTCCTACATTGGTGTCAGCAGTGTCTCTGCATCAGAAACAAACACTGATAAGACACTGAAAGAGCTTTTCTAATGTTATCAGGAACTGCAGTGTAACATTCACTGATGCTCTGCTTTTGATTCCACATTCACTTCTATCACTTTGCTGAACATCAACACAACATTTCAGAGCTTTATTGTGAGTCTGAAAGTGTTGATAAGAGTGATAACAGTAGTGATGTTAGCTGAGCTGTGTTTAACACTCATTAATGCTCTTCTCCCCAAAAGACTGTGTGAAGAACACGGCTGCCTGATGAAGAACCTCCTTCATGATGATGATGAAGGTGTGAGGGAGTCTCTCTCTGAATATTCCTGCTGTAACACTGAGTTTAGTCTGAAAGAGGCTCCATCAGTGAACTTCACTCCCTTTATTAGTATGAATATGCTGGATTATTGTCTAGTGAGCACATATGGAGTGTTAGCTTGTGAGAGAAACAGTCGGCCGTCTGAAGCAGATCATTCAGTTTCCTCATATGAGAACAGATTTCTGCCTGTTACTGTTCTTCAGCTTAGAGAGTCAATAAACAGCCTCGTTCAGATGGACTGAGTTGAGAAAGAGCTGCCAGATATTTACAGATATCCCCACATTGAACTCTGGGATTAAAGTCTAAATGGATTGTTTCCTTTAGTTCTACGAAGTTCAGCACTGAATGTTTTGTGTGCAGTTAAAGCAGAAGAGAAAGAAGTGCTAACTGAAAACTGATTCTGATAAATAATGTTTTGGGGGGGGATTTGGAAAAGTTGTTTTGCTAGAACCAATCCTTGAACCAATCTGGCAACCCAGCCTGGCGCTCTGAATGAAGGTGAAAGTGAAAGTAGCCGCTGCTTCTTCCGCTCTGGACGCTACAGTGGAGAGTCGTGTGTGTGGTTAGTGGAGAGTTTAAACTCGGTCTTATTATTATGGATCTGCTGTTATTGACAAAAACCTGATATGAACTGATTTAAAATGTGGACATATTTCACCACCAGCAGCGATACGACTGTATGAAGAGCAGCGAAGGTAAGAGCCGTTAGCATCATGCTAACCAGGAGAAAGAGCACTGAGAACATCGAACCAGAGAGGAAAAGAACAACAACTAATATAAACACAGCATTATAGAAACCTCTCTCTCTCTCTCTCTCTCTCTCTCTCTCTCTCTCTCTCTCTCTCTCTCTCTCAAAAGCGTCTCTGATGGTTTTATACTTTGAACATGAAAGGAGGAAGTGATTCTCAGTTTCTCTCTCTCCTGACGGGCAGTGGGTGCAGATCCTGTTCTTTCTGTCCAGCCTGCTTTTCCTGTGCCTCCCTGTTTCTATGGCCAGTTTATGGTCACTCAGTCTGTACTTCGTTAGTGTTTGTCTTTGTTTGTTATCTTTGATCCTGATTAGATAATTGGCTAATGAGTATTTCCGATCAAGCATTTCGTATCATGTGAGTTTGTGTTGGTGAGTGATCTGGTTTCTCCAGTAGAGGCTGTGATCCGCTCTGTTATCCTCAGCCTCTCTCAGTGTGGAGCGCTGAGCTGTTAGGTTGGCCTCTAAGTTCTTTATCCTGGCGAGCTGGTTTAGTGGGTGATTTGGGTCTGTCTTGTTGCCGATGAAGGCTTTATAGTGAAAGGAGTCTGGATCTGACCGGGTCAGGTGGTACCAGAATTTACAGCATCTTTTCTGGATGTCCAGAATGAGCGGAAACCTGCCTAGCTCTGCTCTGCAGGCCAGATTAGAGACACCTCTGTTCACCTGCAGGACGTCTTTGCAAAATTCAAGATGAAATAGTTCTGTGGGTGTTTTGTCCCAAATTTTGTAATTTTGTGTTCTTTCTAGTCCCCAGATTTCAGTGCCATATAACATTATTGGTTCACTTACTGATTTAAATCATTTTAACCAGATTGTAACGGGGGGCTGAATTTGGAAATTGTTTTTCTAATCATGTAGTAAGATCTACGAGCTTTTTCCGTCAGTGCTGTAATCGCTGATTTCAAATTTCCTGCTGAATTTAATATCACACCTAAATAAGAATAGCTGGTGGTGTGTGACATTACTGTGTCTTCAAAAGTAAACTGGTATTTCTTCTCCTGTAATCTGGCTTTATTTTGAAAAATCAGTATTTTTGTTTTGTCCATATTTACTGTAAGGGCCCAGTCTTTACAGTAAGTCTCCAGTATTGACAGGTTCTGCTGGAGTGCGTCTTTCCTAATACGCTACTTTCCTTTCCTAATATGCTACTCACACAGATTCCTCTGTAGTTTGAGGGCTGTAGTTTATCTCCATTTTTGAAGAGGGTGATGATGCCTTTGTTCCAGATTTCAGGGAATTTACCAGTATTTAAAATCAGGTTGAACAGTTTCAGCACTGCCATCTGAAGCTTAGGGCTGCTGTATTTGAGCATTTCTGGTCTGATCATGTCGGGTCCAGAGGCTTTGTTTACGTTTAGTTTGTGAATTTGGTCTCTGAGCTCTGTGATTGTTACAGGTGTGTCTAGTTGGATTAGTTTGTGTTTTACGGATTCCTCTAATTTCTTTAGTTCTATGGTTCTTTGTTTCTGTGTTTGGTTGAGACCTTTATGTTCTGGGTTCTCAATCAGGATTCAAAATGTGTTTCCCAGATGTTGGCATTTTGGATAGGTGTGCATTCTTTATGTTTTGTTTTGTTGAATGATTTCCACATATCCCAGAATGTGTTTTCATTAACTGCTTGTTCAGTTCTGATAACCGAGTGGACATGTATTGGCTCCTTTTTTCTTGCAGTAGTTTTTTTGTATTGTTTCAGTGCAGATAAATATTGTATTCATAGTTCTTGGTCTGTCGGGTTTCTGTGTTTCTGGTTTGAAAGTTTTCTAAGGACTTTTCTTGATGTTGCACACTCACTGTCAAACCATCTTTCTTTGCTAGTTTTATTTGAATTTGTTCTTTTTTTATCAGTTCTTTTGAGATCTGAAATAATTGCCAGAGTACTAAATATATCATTCAATCTTTTGGTTGCCATTTGGACATTTTTGTCATAGGATGGGTCAAGAAATGTGTCTAACATAAGGTTTATTTCTGTATTTCTAAGAGCTGCTTCAAATTTGGCAGTGCTGCTGTTTGTCCATTTGAAAGTGGTGGGTAAATTAAACAGATTGTTCTGTTTGCCATCAATCAAATATGGCTCGTTATGTTTCTTTAGATACAGTGTTATAGGGCAGTGATCTGACAGGGGCAGCTGAGGCTGTACTACAAATGCATTAATATGTTCAGGCTCTATATCTGTTATAATATAGTCCACAACACTGTTGCCCAGTGAAGAGCAGTCTGTATAGTTTCCCTGAGAATCACCCCTTGTCCTTCCATTTACAGTGTAGAGACCAAGACCTTTGCAGAATTTCAGTATTTATTTTCCATTGTTATTAATAACACCATCTAAACTCTGCCTTTGAATTGGTGCTCCTGAGTTGTACATGTTGGTGGTTTGGCTGAATAGATGGTTATTTCCCTCTGAACTTATGTAATCAATTTATTTGCCTGTTCTGGCATTGAGGTCTCCACATAGTAAAACTGATCTTAGAGACTGGAAGTGTAAGATTTCTTCCTGGAGCTCTGTAAAGCATTCCTTTTGGTAATGGGGGGAGTGAGAAGGTGGAATGTATTTTGCACAGAGATATACATTTTTGTGAGTGTTCATAATATTGTTTTTGATGCATAACCAAATATGTGCTTTACCCCTTTTAATAGGATATATATATATATATATATATATATATATATATATATATATATATATATATATATTCCCTGCCGCTCTTTATTTGGGGATGTTTTACTGAGGGAACAATAAGTTCTCTGAAATTACTGGGACAATGCGTAGATAAATCTTTGTTACACCATGTTTCAAGTAGAATAACAATATCCATGTTTCTAATAGTGTGTATAAAGTCAGGGTTTGCACTCTTCAATCCGAATGTTGAAGAGTTCAGGCCCTGTATATTCCAACTGCTAATGCGAAGGGATGACATTTAAACTGATATATGTTTCTGGTTAAATAAAATAAAATTCAATTCAGTTACTTTTTAGGTTGTTATCTGTAAATCTGTTGTTTTACAGTTTTTGGGATTTTTTATTATTTTTTTTTAATATCTTTATGTTCACATTTGTGTGTATTCAGCTATCATTCATATTTACATCTACATACATGTAAACACGTTCACACTCATACTATAGGTTGTCATACCTATGATCAGTTTAGGTCAGTTCAGGAGTTTTGAGCAGATGAGTGCCAGCATGTCTTTGATTTGGCTGTATGTGTTCTGCTCCGTTGTTCATTTTAAAGTTACTGCAGCGTAATTTTCTGTTTGCACTCCTGTTTGTTGTGCCTGGCTGGATGTTCGTCCTCTGTGGGTGGGGACCTTGCTGTTGTGCGATGCTGGAGTAGAGTAAGGGTCAGGCTGATAGACAGCTGGTGTAGGATGTCTTGCTGCATCATTGGGTGGGGGGGTTGAAGTTTGTGTGAGTCCAGTGGTGATCAAGGTTGTGTGTAGCTCTGTGGTGTAGTCAGGCTTCACTGCAGGCTGGCGATTAACACACGTGGCTTGACTGACTTCCATGGTTCTCTTCATTGTTTTATTGTATTCTGTATTCCGAGAACTGGTGGTTTTTGTGGTCTTGTGGGGTGTTCTGTTCATAGAGGTGTCTTATAGGCTTCTTGCAAAGATTCCCACTCTTCTCTTTGTCAAGTGTACATGATCATACAGATGACTCGGATTGATGTCCAGGTGGTGTGCTAAGTGCACGTGGGGTAAGAGTTTACAGCACTGTTCTACCTCTGAGTTGATGCCATCGATGACCTGCTGGGGCACATCTTTTCTGGGAAGCAGTGTGGACAGGGTCACTCTGGCTGTAGGCAGCTTTCTAGAAGCTTTCAGGGCGATGAGGTGAAGTCCTCTGGCCACGTCTGTCCTTCCTGCTGAAAGGTCATTGGTCCCGGTGTGTATGAGGATGTGTGATGTGTCCTGGAGTCTCTTGTCCTCTAGCAGATCAAGGGCTCACTGGATTGTTGGGCCCCAGAGTTTAATGGCTCTTTTTCCAGGGAAAAGTCGATTGATATTTAAGAATTTCCCATTTGAGTCACATATTAGGGCAACTTTAGGATTTTGGAGTGGAGTGCGTTTTGAGTCTTTGGTGTGGGGTTCTGGGGTTTCACAGTTTTGTTGATGAGATGGCTCTGATCTTATTTGTGTGCTGGTTTCTGGTGATGGAGTAGAGGAAGACGATGGTACAGCAGTTCTGCTGGACAGTTCAGCTTTTAGCTCCTGGACTTCTTTCTGAAGGCTGAGCAGGAGGCTGTGATGTTCAGGTGTGACTGTGGAGAGCTCCTTCTTGAGCCTGGAAACCTCCTTCTACAGGGCCTGATTGTCCTCCTCTAGGTCTCTCACTGCAGACTGGAGTTGTTTTATGCGTTCTGCTTGTTGATGAATCAGTCTAGGTGTGTTCTCGTTGTCAGAGGTAGATTCTTTGAGCTCAATAAGCTCTCTTTCTAACACTGACAGACCCCGCCTCAGTGATCCTATCTGCTGAGATAGCCAGGGAGTTTTGGAGGTATTGTCCTGATGAGGTGTGGAGCTGCTGTCCCTGAGTGGAGACCTGTCCAGTTGCTGAATGTCTGGCTCTGTTTTCAGCTCATTTGTTAGGTCCTTTAGTTTGTGGTCATTTTGTTGGAATTTTTCCAGACTGTTTACGGACCCCTGCACCATGACAGTACCACTGTGGTAAAGGTTAACGGTTAGGGTGATGCTGTCTGATGTGTTTTCCTCATGAGCTGTAATCTGTGTTCCTTTACAGATGCCATTCTTTTTTTACATTTATGTAGGTGTGGCGTAGAGCTTTGTGCCAGGCTGAAGTGAATTCTGTATAAAAAAAATTATTTTGGATTTTTTCTTGACACCGTTCTCTGTTCTGTAGTCGATGGTGTACATTTCTGGGTTTTCTTTTAAAACTTGCATTTTAAAGCGTCCCTTTGCTTCTGAGGACCACATTTCTTTTGGGTATTGTATCTCTAGGGGGAGCACCCTGCACAAGGTTTCATTGTTCTTGAGTATTTGACTATTCAAACTGAGAGAAGGATCTGGTGCAGGTTCTTGTTCTAGCATTTTTTTTTTTTAACAAATCAGTTGCTACAGTTCAGATATTTTACAGTTGAACAACCCAAAAAGTGTCAGAAACTTAGCAGTTCATTTTTTGTCTTCTCTTTCTCTGGATGAAAATATGCTTAATTTTCTTCCTCTTCTTTTTTGAGCTTTTAATTCAGTTATTACTGGCCTGTTGGCTTTGTGTCTTAAACAATGCAGAGTGTTGCTATGGTAACAGCAGATGCTTAACTGACAATTAACAGTTAGCTCCTTAGCAAAGTGGTCTAAAATCACTTTTTCTGAAGTTCTTACTTTGTTTTTTGAGGTTCAGGACGGTCTCTGGGTGTTCCAGTTTGCTTGTCCACCTTTTCTTTATCTGTATTCTTCTTTTTTCTGGAAAAAGTATTGAATTTCACATTCCTTGTTTGGGAGCTCAACTGTTTTGCTGCTGTTGCTGCTGCTCGGAACTTGGAACATCTTGGAACGTCTCTCTCTCTCTCTCTCTCTCTCTCTCTCTCTCTCTCTCTCTCTCTCTCTCTCTCTATCTCTCACTGTCTCTCTCTCTCACTGTCTCTCTCTCTGTCTCTGGTTGCGCCGTCTTTCTCCCACTCGAACGGGTTCAGGTGTGTCCCGCCGGCTGAAGCAGCAGTCGAGGACGTGCTGCTCGCGGTGGGGGAGAAAGTTGTTTTACCACCAAATCTAGAATGAATAAAGCAGTAGTGGTGTTTGTGAAGGAGGCGCGCTTAGTGAATGAACTGATGGAAGGGGGAGTCTGGGTGTTGGAGACTTTTGTGCCGGTGTCTCCGTTAGTGACGCCGGCCACAAAGGTCACCGTCTCCAATATTCCTCCTTTCATCTCAAATGAACTGATCGCCAAGGAGCTGAATCGCTTTGGAAAGTTGGCGAGTGAGATTAGGTCAGTTCCGCTGGGCTGTAAGAACGCGGCGCTGAAGCATGTCCTGTCCTTCAGGAGGCAGGTGTTTATGTTCCTGAATAGCGCGGATAAAACGCTCGAGGCCGCGTTCCGTGTGTCTCATGGCGACGGGTCATATATGGTGTACTGAAGTGCTTTAAGTGCGGGAGCGTTAGGCATAAACGGTTTGAGTGTCCGCTAAATGAGCGGAGGAGCGCGCTGGAGAACCGGGCCTCCACTGCAGCGGAAACGACTGGGGCCCCAGAGGGGGGTACTGAGAGTAACGCTCCTGAGGAGCCAGGTGAGGGTTCATCCACTACTGCAGCGTCAGGAGCAGAGCGTGGACAGGAGGTGAGTGAGCACTTGATGAACAAGTTTTCAGATGATGTGGGTGTTCAGCAGCAGGCTGACCATGGTGAAAGGGTGGTTGATGATGGGGTGAGGGGTCAGGTGGGTGCTCAGGTGAGTGATGAGCTTAGTGCTCACTCAAGCAGAGGAACAGGTGAAAGTTCAGATTGTGGGTTTCAGAATGGTGCTCAAGTGAGTGGAGAGGCTAGTATTCAGGTGTGGGGTAAAGTGGGTGCTCTGGTAACTGGTGAGGCTGGTAATCAGGTGTGCAGAGAGGATGGTGCTCAGGTGCAGGTTGGACTGAAGGTAGGGGGGAGCAGTGCTGAAGAGCAGGAATCTGAGTTAGTGAGTGATGCTCAGTCAGGTTTACCTGTGTCTCAGGAGGAGAGTATGGAGGAGGACAGGATGTTTGAGGTGTCTGATGTGGGAGGAAGTCAGTACAGCAGTCAGAAAGGCAAAATGTGTAAAGATGGGCGTGCAACCCGTTTTGGACCAGGGCAATGTATGAGCACAGAGCACGTAGGGGGAAGGTTTTTCCTGCTTTCTCAGCCTGTTTTCTGCTTTACTGCTTTCTCTCACTTTTCCCTGTCTATATGGGGGTTTTACGGGTGGGCTCTCTAAATGTTAATGGGTTCAGGGACAGACGTAAACAGGCCCTCTTTTCTGAACTTTGTAGTCTAAAAAAGTTAAATGTCTGTTTCTTACAAGAAACTCACAGTGATGATAATACAGCTTCTGAATGGGGTTTATGGTGGGAGGGGGAGTTTTTTCTGAGTCACGGTTCAAATGTCAGTGCTGGTGTTGCCATCCTGTTCTCACAATCAGCTATGGTTAATGTACTGTCTGTTAAGGAGGTGGTAGCAGGACACTTACTAATGCTGAAGGCAAAGGTCTATGACCATGCCTTTGTTTTTATAAATGTGTATGCCCCAAACAGGGGACCAGATAGAAGTGAGCTGTTTATCAGACTGAACCAGTTGTTGCAGTCACTCTCCCCAGAGGACACTGTGGTGTTGGGGGGGGGGATTGGAACTGCACTTTAGACTTTGTTAAAGACAGAAATGAAGAAGAGCCACACCCTCAATCTGCTCTTACTCTGGCCAACACTGTGTCCCATTTTGATTTAATAGATGTATGGCGGGAAAAATACCCTTCTGTGAAACAGTATTCTTGGGTTAAAATTGTGGAAGGGGGAGTTTATGCAGCGTGCTTGGATAGATTTTATGTCTCGAAGGGTGCGCGGAATATGGTTAGTCAGTCTAGTATTCAGCCCACTTCTTTCTCGGATCACCACTTTTGTACCGTGGAATTTTCTTTTACATTTCACACTCCAGGAAGTTGTATGTGGTATTTCAATAAGGTACTTTTACAAGATAAAGGTTTTTGTGAAAATTTTAAACTTTTTGGGGGGAATGGGTTGGAAAAAAACAAGAGTTTGAGAGTCTTATGCAATGGTGTGGGAAGGCTCAGATTAAGGTTTTCTGTCAAGATTTTACAGCTTATTCTACTTCCAAACTGAGAAATGCAGTTGGTGCTTTGGAAAGAGACATTACACGGATACACAATGCAATGATAAATCAAAATGTTTCTGATTTGCGGACAGAGCTCACAATGAAGTTACAGGAGCTGAGTGACATTTTGTATGAGAAGGCAAAGGGAGCTTTGGTCAGATCCAGGTTCCTGTCTGTGAAGGATACGGACGCTCCCACGGCTTTCTTTTTTAACTTGGAAAAGTCTTCCACCCACAATAAGACATTGCTGTCAGTTCGTAGAGATGACGGTGCAGTCACAACAGACCCAGTTGAGGTGAGGAGGCTGGCTGTAAGGTTTTACTCTGAACTGTTTGTGGCCAGTGCCCTGGATCAGCAGTGTTCCCGGGCCCTGCTTGAAGATCTGCCTCAGCTGGATGAACAACACAAGCAGGAAATGGACAGTCCATTGACCTTTGATGAAGTCACCAAGGCTGTTTCTCAGCCCACTTCCGGGCGAGCGCCTGGTGTGGATGGTTTGCTAGTCAACTTTCATAAGGCGTTCTGGGGGATCATCGGGAGGGACTTGTTTGAAGTTCTGCTGGCTAGTTTTAATGCTGGTGTGCTCCCGAAAAGCTGTCAGCGTGCCGTTTTATCTCTCGTACCAAAGAAGGGAGACCTCTGTCTCCTGAAGAATTGGAGACCAGTGTCACTTCTATGCTCAGATTATAAGATTCTGTCACGCTGTATTGCAAATAGACTGAAAAGAGTTCTGGGAATGCTGGTGAATGAGGATCAGTCCTACTGTGTACCAGAAAGATCGATTTATGATAATCTGTTTTTAATCAGAGATTTATTTGATTATGGTAAAGTGTCTGAATTGGAGTTTGGTTTAGTCTCCCTTGATCTAGAGAAGGCTTTTGATCATGTAGATCATAACTATCTGTTCGACACTGACGGCTTTCGGGTTTGGGAATGTTTTTATGTCTTGGGTCAGGTTGTTGTACACAGGCGCCTCTTGTCTAATTAAGGTGAGAGGGGGTTTGAGTGTCCCTGTTCTAGTGCGTAGGGGGATTAGGCAGGGCTGCCCACTGTCTGGACAGCTGTACTCAGTTGCAGTCGAGCCCTTACTCAGCTTATTTCGGAAAAGACTGGCAGGTCTACAGATTGATAAGTCTAATTAAGGTCTCTGCATATGCAGATGACATCACTGTAATAATACACCACGAGCAAGATGTTGTATCCCTGAAAAATGTTTTGTTCTGCGTCTGCAGGCGGTGCAGCGGTTGCTGTATCATGGCCGTCACAGCTGGATGGATGTTGATGGTTGTTTTTGTTTTTAAAAGTTTGTTTTGATGCTTTCAGTGAGGAATTCTCTGATAGAATTTTTATCGCCGGGGTGAAGTACAGGACTAGCAAGCGGAAGAAAATGTGTCTTCTAAATTATATTGTAGGGTCAGCAAAATTAGCTATATGGAAGACGAGGAAGAATAAGGCCACAAGTGCTGGCTGTGTGAATCCTGAGCTGATGTTGAAGTGGCTGATGGCGGATTAGAGTGGAGTATGAGTATTATAGGCTGGTGGACCAGGTAGAGGTTTTCAGCCATGTGTGGGGACAGAGTGACGTACTGTGCTGTGTTGATGATGATTCTCACCTAGTCTTCCAGTTTTAACTGTGTTTTAACTTCATAAATCTGGATGAATCTGTTGTGATAAAGGTGTAATTATATGGATGTAATAAAGATGTGTTAAATCTCTCTCTCTCTCTCTCTCTCTCTCTCTCTCTCTCTCTCTCTGTAGGAGGAGATAAAGAGATAAAATGGCGGCTGAAAGAAACAGTAAGTTAAACTTCCAGAACCTACAAAAGGTTTTACTGAACATCATTAAATAAAATTCAATCAGAGAGTTTATTTTTATTGTGGAGACACAACTATTAATGTGCGTGTGTGTGTGTATGTGTGTCTGTGTGTGTGTGTTTGTGTTTCTACACAGATGAGTTTAAACTCTTTGGTCCCCGTGGTGATGGAGAGTATCACTCTGGCTCTGTGGTCACTCTCTCCTGTCACCTGTCTCCTGAAATCAGTGCAGTTGCCATGGAGATCAGGTGGTTTAAGGGGACGGACTGTGTTTGTCTCTATAAGAACAGGCAGGTGACAGAGGGGAGGGGCTACGAGGGCAGAGTGAGTCTGTTCACTCAGGAGCTGCAGGGAGGAAACGTCTCCTTACAGATCAGAGACTTTGGAGAGTCAGATGAAGGAGATTATCTGTGTCAGGTCACCAATGGAGACACAACAGAGGAGTGTACAGTAGGAGTGAAGGGTAAGTATTCCAGAAGTTCACTGTACATAAACTCATCATCATCATCATCATCAGCGTCTCGTCTCAGAGTGAAAGATGGAGAGACAGAAATGAGAAACACAGATGTTCAGGATGGAGCTGTGGTCAGATAAAGGAGGTCAAACATACAGAGGGTAAATGATGTCAGTGTGGAGTGAAGGACAGATGGAGCATTTCAGTAGAAAAACAGAGACTCTGTTTCTCTCTCTGACACTAAACCTCCACATCATGACTGCACAGCGGAGAACTTACAACTGCAGCTCCACTAAAAACTTCTAGAAGAACAAAATTAATATTTAAGATGAAGAAATAAAAAATGGAATTATATCATTAAAATATTATATGTAGTGTGTGACGTCACTACAGGCTGCTGACTGGCTCTCACTACAAATCCAGTTCTGAACTGATTAGAGCTGCAGATCCACAAACTACAGAGCCAAAAAGGGGCGTGTTCATTTACATTTATCAGAACAATATTCTAAGATCCAGATAGAAGATTAAATCTGATGTTGATCTTGTAAAGAGCTGAAGGTGAAGAATGTGAGTGAATGTGATCTCCAGCCTGTAGATCTGGTGATGATGGTGAAGATTCTCTACATCTGTAAAATCACAGCAACACTACAGTTTTACAGCTGAGTTATTTCAGGCCAGCTCACCTTCGGCCTGACAGGACACATCATGGATTTCCATCAACAAACATTCAAGAGAAAAGCTTCATTTATCTAATGAACTCAAGCAGAGTTTTAGTTTAAGCTCTAAATCAGTTTAGTTCAGTTCTAAATCATCTTAAATATGGAGCTCTTCTTACAGAATCACTGAGCTGAGCTGAAATATCAACTACTGACACTGTAAAAGTCAAACAGGCTGTTTTTGAGGTTTGAATTCTAAGAATTGTTTGTCTGAAGTAGCTTTAAGAGTAACGAGGATCAAAATGAATTCACAACTAAAAATCCATTTCTAGATCTTTTGGAATCTTTATTTTCACTACCAGGACGAATCCTTTATCCTCCAACACACACACACACACACACACACACACATATATATATATATATATATATATATATATATAATATATATATATATATATATATATAATTATTATTATTATTAGCAGTAGTAGAAGGAGCATATGCATTATTCTTATTACTGTTAGTAGTATTAATATTACAATAACCATTTATTTATTTTCCATTCAAAGCTGCTCCCTCTGTTTTTTTTTCAGAGCTGCAGGTAAAACTCTAATAAAGCAGCTCTGTGTGAGGAACTGATGGGTCTGTTAGTCGATCAGAGACAGTTCAGTAGTGAAGGATGAAGAACTACAGCACAGATGAGAAAAGGAGATTCTGATCAGGAGATAAAGAGTTAAAAAGACTCAAATATTAGAACTGTAAAGTGTTTCTGATGGAGATTTGACTAACTTTGTGTTTCCTTCTCATTTTATTCCACAGGATCGTGGGTGAGTAAATAACAGTGTTTCCTTCTTTCTCTGCTGGTCGTGACTGATTTTATACTCTTATCACATCAACTACATTCAATACAGACATCAAGCAGCTACATAATATTGAGATTCAGGTCAATTTCACATGATGAACAAAGTCTCTGATCTCAGAATGAAAGCTTTTGACTTCATCTCCCTCCTTCCTTCCTTTTAGACTTTCTCCTCTCAGTTCAGTCCAGTAGTGAACAAACACTGCAAACATCTGACTGTGGGAGCAGATTTTCCTCCATTAGTCGTTTTTCCCCAGCTTTGAAAGAATCTGATACAAACAGTGTCTTAAGTATTTAATCCAAATGAACAGAGATGGATTTCATAGCAGTTTTATTCAGATCACAGAGACTAACATCTGCTGATTTCTGCTCAAATGTTTAAAACATTAAAACGGCCTTTTTAGTACAGAAGTTTATGTATTTATATTATGTGAGACTCAAATATGAGCCAGTGTGAGTTCATCTCTTTAGGAAATGACAGAATCTCAGGTGTAGTAATGAACAGAAGGCTGTGATGTGAGGGAGAAGCTCTGAGAGCTCTAGAGAAAAGCAGTTGGGCTGCTAGCAGAGAAGGTGGAAGATGGAGTATTAGAAGCAGCTGAACCAGAATATTAATAATAAAATATTTGAATGGCTGGTGGATACATTTTAATGTGAAGGGACTAAAAGAAATGGCCTAAAATTACTAGGACAAATTCTGGTTCCATTGACTTACATGAAAAGTATGTGGGTTTTTTACTTCTGCTGTAAAGTTACCATTTTGGAGATACGAGGTTTTGTTACATATAATCAGTGAATTATAATACTCTAGGAAAATAGTGAGACAGAGAGAGAGAGAGAGAGCAAAATTACTCACAGGTAATTTATTCACTTCACAGGTATTTGGAGCACAGAGAGGTGAGTATAATTCAGTGTGTAGTGTTTTTATTGTGATGTGCTAATTGTTGAATGTTTGTGTTTAAAGACTGAATGTGTTTATCTGTACTGTGTGTTCAGAGTGTTCAGCTGAACATCACACACACACACACACACACTCACACTCACACACACTCTCACATACACACACTCTCTCTCACACACACACACACTGACACACTCACTCAAACACACTCACACACTCACTCACACACACTCACTCACTCACATACACACACATATCTGATCTACACACTGATACTGTCAGATCACACAGTGAGGTTCTCAGTTTTCAGTCTGATTATCATTAATATAATCAGAAATTTGTGTTTGAATCATTTCCTCACATGAACTTTAACAGCAGAGTCTCATTTTTTATCACCTGATTTCTCTCTGTTTAAAGTTAAGTGCTTGTTTTAAAGGGAGGAGCTTAGATACAGATTAAATATACATGCTTAGAAATCTGTAAACAAGACAAACCTGGCAACCTCAGAGGCCTGAACTGCACATGGGTGATTTCAATATTCTGAATGTGCCGCCCAGAAAATCAAGCGCAAGTCTGAAGCAGAGCGTCAGAGCAGAGCGTCAGAGCAGAGCGCCAGGCACCGCTGCTAAGCTGGTTTGTTTTTAGCCTAGCTTTTAGCCTTTTTTAACCCAACTCAGCAACACAGCTTTTGTTTTTTACCTTTTTTTTAAGCCTTGTTTTAACTGTCATATCCGTCTGAGCCTCTGCACTGACTACCCTAAACTACAGACTTTTGGTTTTATTTAGTTTAAATCTATGAGTTGTTTTCGCGCTATGCCTCCCCTCAGCTCTCCAGCTGGATGTGATAGCTGTGTGCGGCTGAGCCAGAAGATTAGTGAACTTCCACACGGACAGCCGGACTGCCGTTCCCCGCTTTGGAATTCTGCCCCGCTGACCCCTCGTTTCCCGACACCGCTGGTTACCAAGGAACAAACCCATCGTCCATCCCGCCTCAGCCTCGACCGAATCGCTACAGTCCTGCATCCACGCTCATAGTAGGTGACTCAATCATTAGAAACGTTAAGCACCACACAGCCGTAGTTCACTGTATCTCTGGTGCAAAAGTCTCTGACATTACACAGCAGCTCCCCAGTCCTCCGAAGAAATACGACTCGGTGAAGAAGATAGTAATACATGTGGGATGTAACGATATCAGAAATCAGTACACAGAACTGATGAAAAAGGACTTCACAAGCCTGCTGTCTTCTGTGCAAGACTGTGGTAAATCTGTTTTTATTGCTGGACCGATTCTGTCACTGGGAAAAGGTTCAGGATGTTTTAGCCATATTTTAAACCTTCACACCTGGCTCCAAAAAACCTGCCTCTTCAAAAACTTTTATTGACAAGAATTGTAAGAATGCTGTTCATAGATTACAGCTCAGCATTCAACACAATCATCCCTGCCAAACTCATTCCTAAGCTCACAGACTTGGGCTTGAACTCTCATCTCTGCAACTGGATACTGGACTTCTTGACGAGCGACCCCAGGTGGTGAAAGTTGGTAACGGCTTCTCTTCCACACTGACTCTGAGCACAGGGGCTCCCCAGGGATGTGTGCTCAGCCCCCTCCTGTACTCCCTGTATACACATGACTGTGTAGCCAAACACACGTCTAACATCATCTTCAAGTTTGCTGATGACACCACCATCCTAGGCCTCATCACTGATGGAGATGAAACAGCCTACAGAGACGAGGTCAGCACTCTGTCTGAGTGGAGCCATGACAGCAACCTCTGTCTCAACATCAGCAAAACAAAGGAGATGATCGGGGACTACAGGAAGCAGCAGAGGGGTGGTCACTCTCCCCTGTTCATCAATGGAGCCGAAGTGGAGAGAGTCAGCAGTGTGAAGTTCCTCGGCGTACACCTCACTGATGACCTCACCTGGTCCCTCCACACCAACACTATCGTGAGATCTGCCCGTCAGGGTCTCTTCTTTCTGCGCAGGCTCAGGAAGTTTGGTCTGCCTCCTCAGATCCTCACCAACTTCTACAGATGCACCATAGAGAGCATCTTCACAGGCTGCATCACTGTCTGGTACAGCGGCTGCACTGCCTGTGACCGCAAGGCCCTTAAAGGAGTGGTGAGGACGGCAGAAGCCATAATAGGCAACAGACTACCAGCCTTACAGGACGTCTATCAGTCCCGCTGCCTCAGGAAGATCAAAAAGATCCGGTCAGACAGCGTCACCCAGCACACAGCCAGTTCACCATCCTGCCATCAGGCAGGAGATTTCGTAGCATACAGGCTAGGACAACCCGGCTAATGAACAGTTTCTACCCAGAGGCTGTCAGACATCTGAACAAGCTGTGAAGCTGTGGGTCCTTCACCAACTACCATTTCACTCAGTCTTTTTGTCAGTATTATTATTATATCATATCATCTCTGCTATGGACAATAACACCTTAACACTAAGCCACTTTAAAGAACAATAACACTGAGTCACTTAGTCACTTTAAAATGTATATTTGTGTACATTTCTCTATATTTGTGTATATTTTATCTGTATTTTCTCTATATTTTGTGTATATTTAATATATTTTAGTTAGTTTTTCTTGTAATTTTATTTTTACTTATTTACTTTCTGTAGAGTGATTGTCTGAGCCTCCCCACAAGCATTTCAATGCATAAATGCCCTGGCATGTTGTGCAAATGACAAATAAACTTGAAACTATTTTAAACATTTTAGTGAACAAGCTTTTCTATCTTACTTAGCAATGAGTGAAATCCACCTTACACTAAAAATTCCAGATGTTGACTTGGCACTAAACCACTTTAGCAAATAATTTCTAACGGTGGTAAACAAACACGCCCCCCCACAAAAAGCAAAGAATAAGAGACAGATCAAGTCCCTGGTTCTCTAGTGTAGTTTCCTCATTGTTTAAAGGTGGAAATAAAGCTTGGTCCACTGCCAGATGCACTGGAGAGAGAGGCCACTGGCTCACGTTCAGACTGCTGAGAAATAGATGTACCTCTGCAGTTAGAAAGGCCAAATCAGATTATTATCTCAGCCTGATTACCAGCTCTACAAACAATCTAAACTTTTGGAAAACTGTAAAACCCCATAAAAACAATGTCTCTACCCTTCCAACCAGCGTTATAGTTCATGATCAGCTGATATTTAATCAGAAGGAAGTCTGTAGAGCTTTTAACACACATTTTGCTGCAGCTGGGCACATTTTTGAAAATACAGACACAAATCTGCTGTTAGGTCAAACTGACAACTGTACTGTTACCCAGAGCCATGGTGTCTTCACGCTCCAGCCCTTCTCTCCAATCATAGTAGCTAAACCTCTCACTACTATTAATCCACGAAAAACTACTGGTGAAGATGGGCTGGACCCCTTACTTCCTGCGTCTGGCAGCCCCAATTATTTTAGAATACATAACATATATTTTTAATCTCTCTGTTTTATCATGCAGAATTCACAGGATCTGGAAAACAGCTCATGTAACTCCACTGCATGAAGGAGGTGAGGCAGCAGATGTAAATAGCTACAGACCAATCTCAAAACTGTCCTGTTTAGCTAAAATTTTAGAACTTCTAATAAACAGTCGACTTAAATCATTTCTATATGAAAATTCTGTCCTGCTTAATTATCAGTCTGGCTTTAGAGAAAGACACAGCACCATCTCTGCTACCACACTGGTTTTAAATTATCTCTATATGGCCACAGACAGGAAGAAGCATTGTGCTGCCATTTTTATTGATTTGTCAAAAGCATTTGATACAGTTGAACACACTATTCTTTTAAGGAACTTACAAAAGATTGGCTTTGATACAAACGCACTAAAATGGACCCAAAATTACCAGACATACAACAATGTGTAGCACTGAGTAATTACAAATCAGATTTCTTGAGTATATCCAAAGGAGTACCACAAGGTTCAATTTGGGTCCAGTTTTATTCAATATATATGTTAATGAACTTGCTGCCTCTGCCTCAGACTGCAAAGTACACATGTATGCAGATGACACGGTTTTGTACTGTTCAGCTGACTCTGTTTATGCTGCAGTAAGAAAACTGCAATGCTCATTTAATGTTCTACAGGCTGCTTTGTGTAAACACAAACTGGTTTTAAATGCTAAGAAAACTGCTGTTTTCCAGATCTACTAATACTGATTTTAATTCGGTGAATATCACTACCCTGACGGGATTCAACATCGAGGGAGTCACAGAGTACAAATACCTTGGCATATGGCTGGATGATAAACTCACTGTTAAACCCCATATTAATAAAGTGCTGAGCAAATGTTGACAGAAGCTTGGTTTTCTATATAGAAATAAATCCTGTTTCGTGGACTACGGTGATGTAATTTACAAACACGCATCTGCCAGTTCCCTCAAACCACTGGACACAGGTTCATCAGTGGAGACCCTTATAACACTCATCACTGCAGACTGTATGAGAAAGTTGGTTGACCCTCACTAGCAGTACGGCGGGAAACACACTGGTTTATTTTTATTTATAAAACACTCTCCGGCCGTACAGCAGAATGTATTACTTCAATGATGTCTGTAAATAACAGTATTTATCAGACTCGCTCCGGTGGCTGGATCACATGCCAGGTACAGAGGGGTTTTACTGAACTGGGAAAATCTGCTTTTAGTTACAGCACCAGCGAGCCCTCACTACAGGAGAGACTACAGCTCAGCTCACTGGGTCACT